GACGCTACTAGGGGCTCCTGGCATCGCTACTAGGAGCAAGGACGCTAATGTGAGGAAGACAAAAAACGCCCCCCGTGAAAATACCTCACCGAGTGCCCTTACCGCAGGAGTTGGAGCTCGCCTGGTTGGAGAGACATTGTCTGCGGGTTTTGCCGGGAGCGCCCGACTTTGCCAACTCCACCAGTAGCCTTTTCGGTGCTTTGAAGGAGACCTTTGACTTTCAGGCGGCAAGGAGACTGATGGAAAGACTCGAACGAGTTGTTTTCTAGGAGAGCCTGTCGGGTCTCTACATGTATCTACATAGATGGGTTGGACCGTTGGACATGACATAGTTGGACTCAGCGTGAGAGCTATCCTTTTTTATTTTGTTTCCTCTCTACGGTCTCCTTTTTTGGGGGGTCACTGGAGTGGAAGGCAGATAGCGTGCGGAACCAGTTCGAGCATTTCTTGTCGCTGTGGCGCTCTTCCTGTGCCATGGTGGCAGATCGATCTGTTGGAGTTGGCGCATCCGTGAACGAAGCCATTCTACTGCAGGAGGCTGTGTGGGGCTGATGGAGCTGTTGGAGGGATAATATGATATTTACAATGATGCATCTTGTATCATTCTGTGCTCTTACTGTATTGTTGCAGAACTGGGGAGAAGCCTGGAAACCGCCAAACTCATCAAACTTCATCCCTCCAAATTTGAGAGTGGGACTTTTGCCAATTGACAAGTGATGGTTTTCCTTCTTCACAGCTAAGACAGTATCTGAAGGGATCAGTCAAGCCCCGCGGACTCTGTAAAGTGTGAGCCGAAGCATGCCGAGACATTTAGGGAGGATTTGATGTTATCCTCAAACCGCCGACAGCACTCTTGCCGCAATTTCTCCGATCACTCCAAACTCGTGCGAGGCTGCCGGAGACTTGTACTTTGAGATGTTGGATGGCTTCATTCGCTGGAGAGATTCCCAGCTCTTGAATCCGCTTGTCGTCCTGCGCAGTGTTGTGTTGGCAGGAGTCCCTTGCAGCACCTACCCAGTGCCCAGTGAATGCTGGGTTTGCTTGAGTGATATTTCCATACAATTTCTTCCGCGTATTATGCCACCCGTGCTTGGGCTCCTTTCTCGCCCCGCAGCCTAGCTGGGGCAGACTTTGATCTGAATGCGAAGAGCTGTTGCAAGAGAGAGGGAGAGAGATTAGATTAGACTGCCTTTCATGGTTTGGGCTTCGGTCGGATGTTCCTGAATGCTATCAGTTCAACTAATGGGCCACTTAGGAAACATTTTGGCCCAACCTACCAATAGAAAGGTTGAGACCAGTTGCCAGAGGTTGAGAGGTTGCTTCCTTACAATTACAAGGGGCCTTTGGGTTAGAGCGCACGCATAGGGTGAAGATGTCCAATGATCCTTGTTTGTCCTGAGCGGTGCTACTTCGTCTACCGAGGACAACCTGCGAAATTATGAAGCCGCCACAATGCTGAGTCTGTCGGAGGATGAGCCGCATTGCTGCGGATTAGAGGGGGTGACTTTGCAGAGGTTCCTGTAAGTGCATTTTTAGACCATGTAGGCATGTCAATCTGACTGTGCTGGAGAGTGAGAATCAATGAGAACCTGTGGGCAACCACCAAGATAAAACGAGACCTCGGGCTAGGCCTCGACCTCTTGGCGGTGCAAAGTGGGAGCCATTGCAGAAGGAAGGCCTTGATCCTTCAGCGGCCACAGTGTTGTCTCGTCAACTGGCTGAGATGGCCACCTATCTGCTGGTTTGGGGCGAGGCATGGGTCGCACCAAACGGGGACAGAGAGCGACAGAAATGGTTCAAAGCACTAAAGACACACGAGGCAAGCGTCCTTGCTCCTAGTAGCGATGCCAGGAGCCCCTAGACTCCCCCTAGTAGCTTCTTGTTCCTAGCCTTGTCAGGCCGGCAATGTGAGATTTATGCCAGAGGCCGGAGGGTCCAAAGACAGGTGGGCACATGGCCCAATGTGTGGGCTCTACAGCTTCCCGGGGTGTTGTTCAATTCGCATAGTACTATCAAGCATAGCACGTGCCGGTAGTTTTCATGACCGTCTTTTGTTCTGACTGCTATGCTTCTACCGCTGCTGGATGGTCTGATGTGTTTCCAGTTTCCATGAGAAGTGCCCAGGGAGGATGTTCTTCCCCCTCCCCACTGCAGTCTAGTGCAAACATTGGAGAGCTGATGAGTTTTTGAGTAGTTTGATGTCCTTATCATTATCCTTATTGTGTCATTGACTTGAGAACGACCACAAAGCACCCCTCAGGCTTCCATTTTGACACACCGTTGTTCTGAAAACGGAGAAGTAACTTGCGTAGTGTTTTTGATCAGATTTGTTTGGCATGTGAGGCCATTTATTTCATCACAGAGTTGGCTTTGGCCGCCAACCCATCGGACTTTGAAGAGATATACGGCGTAGCTATCCCTGAGCCCAGTCTTCCTGGAGCCCCTTTTCGGAGTCCTGGCTAGTCAGTGGCAGACCTGGGATTGTTGTTCTCATAAGAGTCAATTTCACTTTGTGCTACCGGACGTATATGATTTGGATGTCTTGCAGGGGTGGATTTAAGTCTCATGCTACATTCCTTCTTGAGGTTTCGTTTTGATCTTGCCCTTACGGCCTTCCAAAGGCTAGCCTTTGCTGGATTTTGTTCAATTATTTGTATGAATAATTACTAGTACCAACTTGGAATCGACCAAGCAAACATGTCAGGCACGACATACTAGTGCACACTGCTTCTGAGGAGCAACTTCTTTTTGAGCAAGATCATCCGTCCAATCTACAATGTTGTTTTCGATGAGTGGCAGCTTGCCTTTCAACTTGTCAACGACTTTGTCGGACATGCTACCTGCTGCACACCTGCAGGGCAGAAGAAGCAGCAGCTTATTGTTGTCGTCGTTGTTGTTGTTGAGCCATTATGGCCGAGTATTGAGCTTATTGAGGCAGACAAGCTTGTTGCGGCATGTTATCCAGCCATTTGCTTGTCATTGCGTAGAGTGTGAAGATGTTTTCTTAAGGTATCAGTATGTTGACATAGATCAGAACAATCAGAAGGACAAGAAAAAATTGAAGCCCGGTCTTGAGAACTTTCTCCCTCCGGATGTTTCTTGGAAGGCATGTGTTGAACTGATTGGGAGTGGCACGGCTTGCTTCTTGAAATTGCAAAGACTTGAGCATGTTGCTGCACCTTTGTCGTTGAATTGCTATCCCTTCAGGTTGCCAACTACGACGAGCCTTGAATGACATTGCTGTTGGTTTCAGAGCCCATCAGTAGCTTTTTGTTACTACTAGTGAGGCACCTGTTACTACTAGCGTGGCACTTGTTACCACTAGCTTAATTAAGCTGTGCAAAAAGAGTCCAAGTCGACCCCTCACCTTGATCAACAACCCACCCCTCTCCGCGGATCCAACGCACCCCGCCTCAACCGCTTCAAGACAAAGGCATCCCCCATCTCCTAGGCGCATATCAGGCAACTTACATAACACAATGTAGGATACACGCGCACACGTTTTACTTGGTTTGCTTTTGGGCAGAGGCACTCCCAGCTGTTCAAAGCCCCTAGCCTTTGCAAGGCAAGCATCAAATTCAACCTAACACGTCCAAAATCCTTCCACTGCGTGACTCATGATTCCAAAGCCCAGCAAAGCGCTGTTCTTCTCATCCTTTTCTATTTCAAGGAGTCAGGAGTGTCTACGTCACCGAGATCGCAATGGCCCCGACACACTCGCAATGGCCTCAAGAAAGCAGAAAAGAATCCGCAACTAAAGTCCGTCCTTGCTCCAAGTAGCGTTCTTGCTCCTAGCAGTAAGAGTAAGGCCAGGAGCCCCGAGTAGCTTCCTGCTCCTAGTCGTAGCTCTAGAGCAACTAAAGTCCTTTGGAAACCAATCTGAGCCGAAAGGCTGCCTTTTCAACCTTGGTTCGAGGGGCACCTTCGGATGCCCACGGTTATAAGTTTCCGTGAACGCTGAGGACTGGAATGAGTTCTTTTGCGATCCCAGTCGTATGGTCGAGGGTTTGTTGCTGCAAGACGGCACACGTCTTTTCGATCTCCCCCACGAGCGCCGCTTTCTGGCCTTGCCTCGCGTGGATTGGCAGGTGCAGAGTGTGGAAGATTGAAGGGTCGTTGTAACAGCTCACCATAATCATTGACACTGCGTGAACACCTTGAAACGGAAAACTGATACATCCCCACTACGCGGTTTGGAGGCTTACGGCTTAGGAGGGTTGAAGCACTGCTGCTTTTCTGGCTGTTCAACGGCTAGCACGAGATATTTTGTCTTCCCAAGTGTTGGAAAAGAAGGGTCATTGGATGTCATTGGTGTGATCAGTTGCTGTGATTCTCAGATTTCAATAACAGTACTGCAATGAGCGAAGGACCTGGTTTCGTATGGTTTCGTTATTTGTCGCTGCATTGTTGGAGGTCACCTTAGAGGCAGCGGAGACCAAGACGCATCGGGAGATCCACTCCTTGTGGGGCGTCTTCGCCACGACGCATCGAATAGTTCTCTTGCATTTGATCCTTTTCTTCTCCGGTGTTTGTGCCTTGAATGCTGATACGATACGACAAAAGGCGCCAGGCATTGTTATTTTGCGTAGAAGGCAGTGCTCAGGAAACGAACTGGAAGGGTTTCAACATGTCCCCAGAGCGTTCTCAGGTGCCGTAGCAGGAGACGCAGAGCCGTTGGATGGGCAACAGCCGTTGTTGGGGATCAGTGGCGGAGTTCGCTTCGCTGCTGTGGCCCTGGTGGTGCCCGTTCATGCTCTATTGTGGGCCTGCGCACGGTGGCAAGTCACAGGACGCACTCATTGCAGTCACCTTAGCGGATACAACATAATACAACTTCATGTTAGAATCACATCTCATATCATTGATATTACACGTGTTGGAATGTAGTGCAGGGATTTACAGGTGTTGCTTGTTCAATGCGGTTGGTGACGACACGGCCCACCATTCATAGACCAAGTCGGTGAAACTCGGATGCACAAGTAGAACGTTCTTGTGAAAGTTTTAAAGGATAGGCTATATCTTAGATAGGCAGAACAAAAGAAAGGTAACGAAAAGACTCATCGCACGACGATCTTCCTTCCCTGCTAGGACGTGTCCTACGTTTGCAAGCGCCGTTGGCCTGCGCGGGACGAAGCAGCCTGGCCGGAGATGGGTGTACACGTGTCGGCACAAGCCGGAGATTTCACATCGGTGAATCTTTTATAAACAACTTTGAACCGTTGTCCCCAGTTGTCCCCTGATGCCAATTCGATGTATAGTTGAAAACAACAAGCGATGCTCACAAGTTTTCATGCAAACTAGTGGATCGAGGCTTTATCATGTTGCTCGCAGGAGGTTCTTGGGGCAGTCGGTAAAGTAGATTTTAGATGTCAAGGTATTGGGACTAGTAGGCTCGTCGTATGACCGTCCATGTGAATGAGGCCTTTGGAAGGCACTATGGTGGATGGGGCCTCATTTGCGTTTGAACCAGCATATCGCAGCCCTTTGAAGTCTGCCAGTCCTCTTCATTTTCTTTGGCTGTTCTTTTTGTACACCCAACCATTTGTGGACACATGCTGAGGATGCTGCCAGTTCTGACTTATGCTGGCATTCGAGACTCCGCACTGGGCGAGGATAGCCAATTCGGTTTGCCTTTGGCACCCCTCCTAGTCTTGCACTTTGCGCTCTCGGGCACTGGATTGGCCTATTTGCTCTTTGTGCCCTCCGGGTCCTGCATCAGAAGTTGCGGAAGCAATTCCGATCATATGTGGGAGATGAGTCCCGTGCCGTTAACGGCGCGGCTGGTACGACACTCTCCGAGCTAGTACTTTTGTTCTAACTATGAGCTCTTTTTTCTCCTCCCTTTCTGGTAGCCGGCGGAATGTTATAAATCCTTATTGACATGGGGATGTCCCGCTGACCACAAGCATTCAATCGAGAAGCTGACCTGTCAGAGTTTTCTCAGGATACTTGTTTTGGTTCGTGCTCTTTTCCGTGAAGTTCATCTTGGGCTTGATCATTTTCCGCGCAATGTACGAGGCCACAGTGGAGTTGCAGATCGCGCTCCCGGGACGGGAGTCCGTCTCGGAGCTGTCCAGGATCTACTACAGCACGGAATGGGGCTCTGACTTCCTTCTTTGGTTCGCAGCTGGCAAGCATACAGCCATCATTAAGACATATTAAGACCATTGAGCAAGCACTTTGTTTTGGACCAGGCGCGTTCTTGTCTTTGGCCGGTTGTAAGGTACTTTGGTTCACCACCTTGGTCCTCTTTATTTCAGACACGCAGCTTTGGTTCACCTTGTTATGCTCCATCCTGGGCGTCTCCACCGTGCTAGTACAGCGCGGATGTCGTTGCTTCACCTGGGCTTTGGAGGACTCGGTGGCCAAACTCCCCGAGCGCTTCTCCCGGAAGGTCTTGCCCTACTCCTTCGCCGGATCGGAGAGTCGCGTGGGTGAGCAGGCGGCAGATGGCCGGGACACATCGGCAGGGATTGGATCTGAGAGGTTCTGAGAGCGTCTAAAAGCCTAGTCTAGCAATTAGTAGGTTGGAGGCCATCGCTATTAGTAACAAAAAGCTACAACAGGGGCTCCTGGCATCGCTACGAACGGAGCAAGGACGCTACTAGGGGCTCCTGGCCTTACTACTAGGAGCAACAAGCTATTAGGTTGGAGGCCATCGCTAGTGGATCTCTTCCTTCATTCATCAAACAGACTTGCACATCCTCCAGAGGTCGGTTGGCCTTCAGCGAAGCACACATGTGTTGTATGTTCAGAAGGGCCTTTGCCATCAGCTGACCATATGATTCCATGTGTTTTTAATCATGTTTTTGGTTTTGGAAAATGTTTTCATGTTTTCACCTCCAGACCAATGAGCCAGGTGGCGCACTTTTCCCCCTACTTCCCGGCGATTTGGGACCGGATCCTCGAATACATGCGCTACGAAGACAAGATAGACAACCATTTAATGGGGGACTTGTCCTTCAAATCAGGCGAGTCTGGACATCAAGTGTCTCAGCTTGTATCTTGAGTCGAAAGAAATGTTGATATCATTTGATATCGTTTCAGCGGTCAATCATTGAGCGTGGGCCATGCTGCGGCCAAATCCAAGGTCTATTGGAAACAGCTGCGCCAGCCTTTGGCCAAGCGGCGCACGCGGGAGCCCGTGTCGCCGGTCTCCCCACCGGCCACTACTGTAGCCTTCACAGAGGACACGCCAGGCGCCATGGGCAGCGCCATGGGCAGCGGCATGGGCAGCGGCAGTTACACTGCCACTACAGTGCCGGAGAAGATCTCCTTGCCATCAGGGAAGCCCAGGAGCGTGACCAGATCTGATTAGGTCATGTTTAAGAGGACGCATATGGTGTGGAAGGCACACTGTGGAAGAACTGAAATTTGCCCCAGCACGCGATTCACGCCATGTTCTTACACGGCGTAGACATTCCCAGGAGAAAAATCAAGGTGCCAGACATCTTCCGAGAGAAGACGGCTTTCGAGGCACCCATCTTGTTGGCTGATTAGCTTGTTGGTGGACTGGCGGACTCCAGATGGCCCAGATAAAGAAGCGGCATGTCATTTGTGGACCACGTTAGTCTGCTAGTGATTCTCTAGGATGCCTACACGTTGTATGACATGATATAACATGCATGGCCCTGTGATGCCCTGTGCTTTTGTGCGATCGTTCGGGCAGGTCGGTTTCAAAACATATTGCTGCATGCATGATGCCCATTGGCCAAACAATGCAGACGCAACTCGTCAGAGGAACATTAGGTCCTACCTGGATCATCCAGTGAAGCCATACTACTTCATGCCGTTAGTACTAAGGCCAGTATTGGAAGTTGAATGTAAAGGAAGAACATCCTTTTCTTCTTCATACTGCTTTAAATGCCATTCCTTGAATCATCAACTCACATATTGACTCGTTCCCTTTGTCAAAATCTTTCGAGGTGCAATGGCGGCTTTTGGCCTTGTCTCGAGGACTTGGACTTCCAATGCCACGGCCCTTCCGCGCACCTTACTTCCCTGGTCTCACCGTATGTGTCTTCACATAAATGGCCAGGTTGTCGAGTCGGGACAGTTGGATTTCATCTATAGGTGCATGATGCATGATGAAGATGCATGTGATATCCGCGCACATGCACACCACAACAGGCTTGAAACCGCCTGATGGTTGTTTTCCAGCAAGGATGCAACATGCCACTTAAACTTAACTCAAACTTGAAATGTGCTTGTCGGTGAGACCGACAGCCATCCCTGACTGTGCAGCAAATGCAACCTGAAGTAGGGCTTTCAGCCTGCTCAAGGTATTCCACATTATGGCGAGTCGATCCTGATGTTGAAGAAGGAGCTATTTCAGGGCCGAGAGGAGAATGTACCTCTTATGGACTGGTTTGGCACTTGGGATGGTTCTTGAACGATCATTGCAAACAGATAAGACCAAAAGTTGAGCTTGAGGCTGGCCGCCAAGTATGAAGAGGAGTTCTTGACCTTCTCCAACCGGATGCAGGCTTGAAAAGGTTTGTTTCCGGACCCGGCAAAAGGCTTCTCAAAAGACTGCTCATGACTCCTCTTTTTGAAATGATAACAGCTAGCTGTGGCTCCTTCAACAAAATCTGGAAAGCCAATCTTGAGCTATGCGAAGAAGATTAGGAACAAGAAGCTAAGGGGAACAAGGGCATCGCTACTAGTAACAAAGACATCGCTACTAGGAGAAAGAAGCTACTAGGAGCAAGAAGCTACTAGTAGCCCCTTGCATCACTACTAGGGGAACAATATTGTTCCCGAAGACATCAGGTCAAATGGGGCGACAGTGGATGGCCTGTGCAAGGAAGCCAATGGGAGGAGCACCTTGACACAGCTTGAGAGTTGCCACGGGCGAAGCAGGGCATCGTCACTTGATCAACCACATACAGCATATTTACATGCTACCCTATGTCAAATAGTCAGTGCTCACCGTTCTGACGCAGAGGGCCTGGGAACTTTTATGGTGCTTTTGCCCAGGATTTGTCCACAGACTCAGATCATCTGGTCGCCTAGGGCCATGCAATGCCAATGCTTGGTTGTAGGAAGTTTTGCCCCGATGGTGATGGAGCAGCCAGGTATACAGATCAGCAATGGAGCACCATCAGCGCATGGGCTTCTATGCGCATGCAGACGCTTTGGCGTACAGCACTTGGACCTAGACATTGGGAATCAGGTGTCGTTTGGCGGTGTTAGTTCAACATGATTTTGGGGAGCTGAGCAAATAAATGACGGGGCTTTTCTAGACTGCTGGTTCTGAAATGATGTGATAGTGAACAGAATGAGTTTCCCTGTGTCACGGTTTGGACCTTGCACATTGCAAGAGGTTTGTGCTCTTGGTGTCTTTACGCTTCATCAGCTCAGCCACAAGTTTGGTTTGGTCACTTCCTTTTTTTTCTTGCCTACCTCCCCCCTCATTCTGTGGGCAATGGCCTCCACCCTATTAATAGCAATGGACTCTCCATCCACCCCCTTCTAGTAATTTTAATTTGATTCTAATTAAATACTAATTAAAAACTTAATAATAGCTTCTACTAGCAAACATTGTTACTACTAGTAAGGCACCTGTTACTAGTAGCGTTGCACTTGTTACTAGTAGCGATGCACTTGTTACCAGCATACACTGCTGAGGTGGCCGGAATGTGCCTATACCACCCAGCTTTGCAATGCCACTGGGAGGCGTGGGCTCTACGTGGTTAGGAGCGATGCACTTGTTACTAGTAGCTTCTTGTTACTACTAGTAAGGCACTTGTTACTAGAAGCAATGCACTTTTTACTAGTAGCTTTTTGTTACTTGTAGGCTGAAGTTTCCCTAAAAATCTAAGATCCAAGGCTCAACATGGAAGCATGCCGCGACAGAGTCCCAGGCAGTAGCGTGCTAGAAGCTAGGAGCGTGGGCCCTGCTCCTAATTTAAATAGGCGCTTACTTAAGTAAGGAGGCAGCGCCGCGCGGACTAAAAGAAAGGGCCAAGCTGAGCCCCTCAGAGGTTGAAACCCACACTGAGTCGACTGGCGAACGGCGCAAACCAGTCGTTTATCACGTTTGCCGTTTGCCTAAAACGACAGAACAGTACTGGTTGCGAGGCGTGTCTCCGCTAAGCCCCACCAAACACTAGCGTCCTTGCTCCTAGTAGCGATGCCCTTTGCTCCTAGAAGCGTCCTTGCTCCTAGTAGCGATGCCCTTTGCTCCTGGTAGCTTCTTGCTACTAGTAGCTTCTTGTTCCTAGTAGTACGGCCAGGAGCCCCTAGTAGCGTTCTTGCTCCTAGTAGCGATGCCCTTTGCTCCTAGAAGCGTCCTTGCTCCTATTGATCGACTTCGAGCTGTCAACAACCGCTGGCGAGGTCCAGGCCGACCGGAAGAGCAGTTTGGCGAAGCCAGGAATCTGGAATGCCAGCGATTGCTTCACATGCACCTGGGAGCGCACGAGTTGCTGCCTAGGGATAGAGTTCTGACATTTGATGTTGTATTCTTATAAGTCTCATGCAGTGTCAACCTGACTTCTCATGTGTGTCGAATTCTGTTTGGTTTGGTTCTTCCAAATCCAGAGATGGCCTCGCGTGACAAATCCCCAGCTTCTGGATCTGCCACGCCCTTTTTGCTTCTGCAGGCTTGGTTTCAATGCAAATGTGCCTTGGATGTTTGCAGGTGTGGGTTGATGTACTTACTATCTATCACACTTTTCTGTGGAGTAGTTTGCAGGGGTTGGAGTTGGTTTGACAGATTCTAAGCCACATGGAGCCATCGTTGCTTGCATTAGTGTTCATTGAACTTTTGCTGTATCCGTACAGCTGGCTTTAGCTTGCCCTTTTTGTACAACCGTACCCTTCCAGAGATTTGGGCAGCCCCATGCCTGAGGTACAAGTTTTTTGATCAGACGCAGCTTGAGCACACCAACAGGACATAGCCAGCAACGCGAGTTTGACCCGGGTTGCAGTTTGTCCTGAGCTGTGGTCTTTGGGTTTGCCTTGCTGCCTTGCTTGGAGGATGTTTGCGAAGTTCCCAGACTGCCTGAAGGTGGCCTTTATTGACTGTGCAGCTTGGACTGTTCACCCCAAGTGCCGGCGGGAGTTGTTGAACATGCCGCATAAATCGCATAAAGCGTGCCTTGTAAATAGCAGCCTGGCAGGATGGCTGGCAGTTTTGTGTGAAATGTATGCTTGACTTACATCCATTTCTCCATATTTCTCCCCAAGGAGGACAAAGGTATCACGGCGGAGTTGGACCTGGTCCATCCAAAGCAGAAGCGCCGGTACTACAGCAGCCTCATTGATGGTGCGTGCGAAGATCTACCAACAGGCTTGAAGAAGGCGCATCGGCTTGAAGGTGTCGGTTCAACCGCAAGGACCTGGACCTGGATGGTGGCAGTGCTGCCCTTTGCTCCTAGTAGTAAGGCCAGGAGCGCCCCTAGTAGCGTCCTTGCTCCGTTCGTAGCGATGCCCTTTGCTCCTTAATAGTAGCTTCTTGCTATTAGTAGCTTCTTGTTCCTAGTAGTAGGGCCAGGAGCCCCTGGTAGCGTTCTTGCTCCGTTCGTAGCGATGCCTTTTGCTACTAGTGGCGTCCTTTGTAGCACTGGGGAGTGAAATCCGATGTTCCGGTAGAGCCGTGATGCTCAGTTCGGTTTAGGAGCTCTGTTTGATTTCCAGTCAGAAAAAGGAGTGATGAGGAGTGAGTGGAATCCCGAATGTAAGTGTACACACTGGTGCCCAAGATCTTGTAATTTCGGTGCCGAAAATCCACGAAATTACATATTTAAGAACCTGTACGAAGCCTTCTCACCCGATCGCTTGAGGCGAAATTCCGAGTGGAGCTGCCTGGGTATCCGATCTTGGGCGATGGAAAGGGAGACAATCAGAATCATGCGATACCCTTTATGCGAGGCGTCTTCACACAGTGCATCGACGCAAACCAAGGGGCTTACTTTGATGCTTGGCTGCAGAGCAGTCCAGCTCAATGCCTTGACGACATGGAGCCACATACCGTCGTTTCTTCATCTTGTTTTTATTGCAAAAACACAAATAAGTGAAGTAAGCCCTGGATGAGGAGCAGATGATGCTGCTGCCGTGTGCACTTGGTCACTTGGTACAACCTGGGCAGAGTTGTGAGAGCTTCTAGAGTTGGCCAGGTGGGTGTATGTTTCTGGGCCAACCGTTGGTAAACAAAGCCTTGAAGAGGAGAGCCATTATGGAAGGCCATTTGTGTGTGTGTGCAGTGTGCCAGAGTCTTCTGTGTGGTTTGGATTGCTAGTAGCAAGGACGCTCTTAGGGTGGGGGCCATTACTACTAGTAGCGATGCCCTTTGCTCCTTGTAGCCCCTAGTAGCATCCTTGCTCCTAGTAGCGATGCCAGGAGCCCCTAGTAGGGTCCCTGCTACTAGTAGCACGGGTGCATGACACGGTGTACTCCACGTGTCAAGGCGAATTCCGCTCGAAGAAGAGGGGTGACAGCCTCTCCAAGCGCATCGTCGGCTTTCCAGAGCACATCACCAGCACCTCGGCGGAACGCCCGTAGCGACTGGCGGACCAACCGGTGCCTTCTTGTGGTCCTTGGCAGACAGTGCTAGTTGCTGCAGTTTTCAGTGACACAACTGTTGTGTTTTATCTAACATAATTAGTGTCCTTCACTGACTTTTGGCAACAGTTTCTTGCACAAGGCGACATTGGTTCCATCGGAGACTTTGCTGCTTCTGCCGAAGTGGCATTTGGAACCATTCTACAACGAACCTACGTTTCTTGCTTGGAGAAGTCATCGCAGCAGCAAACACCTGATGATGCTGACAGTTGGCCTTGCTTGAATATCATAGAGGCACTAGCTTGTAAACCTTGAGATGGCTTGAGGTATCCTCCCTTTTTCATCGTGTTTTGAAATCCGACCTCAGATAGTTTGGATCCCATTCGGAACGTCCATTCAAAATGCCACTGCAAGGGGGCTGGGAAAAATAGTTTGAAACGTTCAGTGCCAAGGCTGTCCTGGGTGCACGGATGCATTATGGCCATCCCGATATCATGAACAAGTGCTTTGGAGCAATCCTTTCGTGGGCAAAGCGGGGGCGGGCTCAAAAGGGTCGCGAAATACGATCAATAGGAACCCAATCTGCAAAGCTTCAGGTGCTGTAGTTTCCTTCTTGTGCACTGATTCCACACTGAAGCGGAGTTGGTCAGTGACATGTCACAAAAGATCCTGTGCCAAGCATGTTTTGCCCAGAAAATGACAGTAATATATATATATACATAATTAGTTGCAGTTCATGAATACGACAAATAGTGCTTTACAACTATGCCAATGGATCCTTGAATTGCAAAGACGGTTTATTGACCTTTGAAGGTCCGGAATTTGGTACCAGTCGAATCTCCATGCTTCAGGTTATTCATGATGCAGCAGGGTGGCGTTTCCAAAGCCACCAAGACAGTCAACCTGTCCGAAGACATTTTCGCAGGAGCACTGAACAAAGACATTCCGCGCACTTTGAACATGTTTCCCAAATCGTTTGCTACGAGTCACAAGGAAGGCTTTCTCCAGCCTTTTGCTACCATGCCCACAGCTACTCTTGGACTTCACTGCCCCTTACGTCCAATCACGTGCTCGTTGCTAAGGAAGACTAGGACACTTTTATGGACAGTGTGATTTGTGACACGACCATGATCAACCGAGTTGATGGGTCAACCTTTTCAGAGGGTTGGGGCTGCCAAACCTTCCATTTGTGCTGTCCAGGGCTCCCGAACGAGATGAAACGGGCCAGGAATGGACTTCACTTTGAGAGGAAACGGGCGGACCATCAAGCACCTTTGGCCTTCAGTATGCTATTAGTAGCCAGGATGCTACTCGTAGAGTATAGGTGATGATTGAGTTAACGTAATTGCGCCGCAACTTTGGTGCGGGAGTTGGCCATACAGAAGCTAGTGGACTTGGTTGTAGATGATTATGTTTGCTGATTGTCCATTGCGTTGGAAGAACCCTTAGACCAACAGGTGATACTATTTCAAATCCAAGTTACTTAGACTTCAGTTGAACATGCTGACGAAGCGGCATTGTTCTCACATCTGAAGGCATTCAGAATACTTCCACCTGGCCAAGGCGAGATGCGAGTTGTCGCCTGAAACTATCCTCTCTCTCCCTGTTAAGTTGAAGGCCATCGCTCTTAGGTTGGAGGCCATTGCTAGTAGGTTGGAGTCCATCAACCTAGAAACCATCAACGGTTTGTGCTACAGCAATGCCCGTCCAGGGCCTTTGGTGAAACCGAGACGTGACCAACAAGAGATCTGGGCTATTCTGGGCTACTAGTAGCGTCCTTGCTCCTAGTAGCGATGCCCTTTGCTCCTAGTTTCTTCTTGTTACTAGTAGCGATGCCCTTTGCTCCTAGTTTCTTCTTGTTACTAGTAGCGATGCCCTTTGCTCCTAGTTGCTGCTTGTTACTAGTAGCTACTTGCAAACCAGGGCCGGGATCTGGGCTTCAACACTGTGCTTGGATTCTTTTCCAAGCTCTCGTCCGGCACAGGCTCCTTGACTCAAACTGCCTGTATGTTTGTTACTCTTGTGCTACCCATTTCTCCCAGTCTTCGCCAATGGCCTGAGAAATTGGGAGAAATGGGTTTTGTCCAACAGTTGTGTCAAAAAATGCTTTGGGTGTCTTGAGAACTTCTTCTTGGCCTGAGGTGAGCAGGTCCTCACGCGCCAAGCCTTTCGTTTGGGGCAAGTGCTCCATTTGCCCGAGGCCAGCTGAGGACCCACGCATTGACTGCACATTTGTGCTAAGACGGGTTCCGTTTTGAGCAACAGGCAAGATTTCAAATCCAAACAGTCAGGTTTGACTATTTTTGGAAGGTTCTTGTACAAATGCAACATGTAATTTAATCATCATAAATCATGCTTGAACCTCGAACCTCGAAATTGCATGCTTACGGCAGTACGGAACAGATTGCTAGGGCCGCTAGATGCTGTCAATACGTCCAATACGTCCTGAAATTACTCAACTGACACACACATATATATATATATTTTTATTCCATGTTTCGCTGCGAGGCTTTGACCTTTTACTATGCTCCTTGCTCGCATGTGTTTGCAGATGCTCTGTGGATAGTGGGACGTATGCAGCTGGGAACTCAGGTTCCGAAACTCATTCCCAGCAGAACTGAGGCACATGTGGGATACTACTTTACGCAACTTGGCACCAGTTTGGCCTTTGCAGCTTGAAAGCAGCCCACCCTGTTAGCACGAATTGCAGGCAACTCTTTGTCTCTTGGAGTATGCCCTTGCTGGTCTTCGTTTGGCTTTTGGTGCTTTTGGCAGATGAGGCAGGCTCGGAGCGGACCATGAGCACCTAGTTGCGTTCTTGTTACTACTAGTAAGGCCCTTTGCTCCTAATAGCGATGCACTTGTTCCTAATGGCTTATTGTTTCTAAGAGCTTCTTGTTACTACTAGTAAGGCACTTGTTACTAGTAGCGAGGCACTTGTTCCTAATGGCTTCTTGTTCCTAGTAGTAAGGCCAGGAGCCCCTAGTAGCGTCCTTGCTCCTCACAAGTTGTTCAGTGCCGCTCAGGTCCGTGATGGCATTTTTGAGGCCTTCTTGAATCTGGAGCAGGTGGGGACCCCTAAAGCCCATAAGGAAAGATGGAAAGGGCATCCATATCATAGATCGCTTCGTGGCTTGTGTGTGGATCCATTGAACCCAAGTGAGCCAAATGAAGGCTGAAATTGTTTGACCTCGCCGAATTCACCCCGCAGGTCCAGATGACCTCAGCGGAAGTCATGGCAAAGACCGTAGGAGTGTGGACCTTGGCGGGAGGAACCGAGGAAGTCTATTCGTTGGTGGTGAGATCGGTGCCAACATTAACCAGTTCATGAACATCAGGAGGGGCCTTGCACCCCGGAAAGTGGAGCCAACAAAAGCTTCGGGAAATGCCCGGAAACTTTGATGTTCTTTGGACTTTGGTAGCTTTGGTCCCTCTAGTCTTTGTGGCTCTTCTGTATGTATTTGTCTCTGAAAGCCTGTTCAACCTACCAACAGCACTTGCTTATTGATTTGCCTGTTTATGGTGGCTTCCACGCTCCTCTCCTCTAGCCGGAAAAATGCCACGCTCAAATTCCTGCACTATCAGAGGCAGATTCATCTTACTGTCACTTGTCCACCAAAACGAGAGCATCAAGTGCTTTGCCAGGGCTGGCACTTTCTCGTTGAGAAAGCCAGGTTTGGTTCTCTTGGTTGCTTCTGCTCTTCTTGATTGCGACGTCGCTTCCTTTGTTGGCCGCTTGGATCAACAAGAATTCGTTGTAGCATGACAAACCTTGAGACACACACAACCGCAGGGTAATCTGTCCCAACATTGGGGGTTTCTGATGTCAGTCAGTGAAAGCTTCAGCCAGTGAGGAGGACATTGCCACAACCATGTTGAAGTCAATACATTCTTGATCTGTCCGTATTTTACCCTTTGCACCTCCATGTGCAAGGCGGAGATGTGGATGGAACGGAATCTCAAGGCCATTGGGGAGAGCCATTGTCACTGGACGAACGTGGGGCCACTTCACCCAGAAAGAAACTTTTGGGGTCCTAACCACTCTCTGCCGTGATTATAAAAGAGAACAAACAAAAGCAAAACATGTTACTACTATATAGCTTCTAGCTGCTAGTAAAATGCCCTTTGCTACTAGTAGCGATGGCACAACAACACAAAGTGTCGGCAGGTCGCCTGCGAGCGCTTTTTCAAGCAGATGCTCACACTTTCCCCGCTTTTTGGCCTGGCTTGGTGATGCTGCTTCGGGCTCTCGCAGTTTCCGTTTCCGCCGAGAATCAGTTGATGATGTTGCTTTCGGATCTTCATTTACATCTCGGAATTTTTAGCAGTGTCAGCTCTGCAGAAGCCTTGCACTAATTCTTCAGTTGATCACTGACTCTCAGGCTCATGTTCATTTTCCAGGCCAAGATCATTGGGCACTATGCCAGACCCTCAGATTTTTTGGGGGCATTTGTATGCGATTTGTTGTCCCTGGGCTGCCTGTTTCCTCGTTCGAGCGACGCTCCTCACGACAACATACTTTCCTGAAAGAACGAACACTACAAGAAGCAACTAGGGGCTCCTGGCCGTACTACTCGGAGATACTAGGAGCAAGGACGCTACTACTAGCAAAGGGCATCGCTACTAGGAGCAAGGACGCTACTACGGGCAGAGAGGGCGAAGACCTGTAAGAGCCCTACTGTACCACGGGCACCGACGCATACTGGAGGCCATCGCTATTAGGTTGGAGACCATATGACGCCATTGTTTCTAGGTAGGGGAGCAGACTGGTTTCTGTTTAAATGTATAGGCCATGGCGGCCATACCTCATGGATGGCGTGTCAGGTCATCAACGAGATCCGCTACGGCGGTGCCACCTACGTCTCCACGGGCCGAGGACTCCCAACGGATCGGCGGCCCTTCATCGGCGAAGCGGTCCCGGGCAAGTGCCCTGACCTGACAGCCTTTGTCTTTGTTTGACCTGCGAAATAGCAAAAGGCACGCAAAAGGCACTGCAGAATTCAGCTCGTTTCACTATGAAGGACATCACACAGAATGTGCCCTCATCAGCCCACTGACATTGGCATTGACCAGAAAGGGAAGCATCTCAGCTACTAGGGGCTCCTGGCATCGCTACTAGGAACAAGGAGCTACTAGTGGTAACATCTTGGGCATTCGGTTTTCGGGCGAAAACCAAGGTTTCAGCTCAAACGGCTTGGTGGTTTGTACTTGGACTATGCCTCCATTGCTTACTATGAGACCTGATTTGCACAGTGTGTGCTGCTAAAAGGTTTGGGCAACGACCGAAGAGATCACGATGCCGAGGATGGAGTCACTCTCCTGGCTGGCGTCATTCTCATCTACTTGGCTGGAGGAGTATCAGGCTGGTAGTGGAAGCTTTTGAGCCGATGAGCGAGGAAGATGGTGAAGGAAACGCAAACCTCATCAAACCGCCAATTGTTGCAGGTTCGCTATGCTAGGTCATTTCCTTGCGCATGTTTGGCGGCAGGTGCTGGTGTGTATTCCAGTGATGTGTGGTGGGTCTTCATTTGCTTGTTCCTCACTGTGGCTTCTTGGCTTTGGGTCACTCAGCTGCATCCACATCAACACGACTCACAGTCAGCTAGTAACAAGTGCCTTACTAGTAGTAACAATAAGATTTTTTGTAATTACTACCAAAGGAATCTACTAGGACCTTGTTACTAAAAGCGAACATTGTTACTACTAGTAAGGCACTTGTTACTAGTAGCGATGCACTTGTTCCTAGTAGCGAACATTGTTACTACTGCCAGAGACTCAACGTACCCTTGAGGCGCCCTTTATTTTCAACCCGTACCAGCTCCTTGGGCAAACTGCTTCGGCTAGTTCGGACAGGTCCGTGAGATTCACACGACGTCATTCGAACGGTTTCGCTCAGGTTTGTTTGGAAGCATTTCTGTGAGGACTGGCGTTTGCTGGTTTGGGGAGCTTAGCTTTCAAATGAACAGTAGGTGATGCTGGAGAGTGTTGAATTTGAATAGTTGACATGTCTTGAAATTGGCAGCCTCCAGAATTAAGAGAATCGTATCCCCTTTGACTATGCTTTGCTTTGGCTCATTGGTGCAGTTTTCTTTTAAGTTGGAGGCCATTGCTATATGCTAGAGTCTTGCAGGACTTTCGCTGCTTGGTGGCCTTCTTTTTGGAGGACCTGTGGGCTCTTGGCCTTTCTGGCGGGTGATGTTGTGATGAGACATTGACATTGATGGATCACAGGTGTCACGGGGTAAGTTCAGTTAAAGAGTGAGCAGGAACACTTCTGTCTTGACACCAGCCTGATTGTGAAACAGAGGCGGTGAGGCGGCACTGGACACCGATTTGAGAGAGAGTTGGGCGGCAGAAATGCTCTTCTCCCTTCAGGACAGTGGGAGACACTGGGTGGAATGGTACGATCGGACTCAGTTGAAGCCCCGGAGTGGTGGCCTTCATCGATCCATGGACGCTTGGAAAATCAGTTAGCATCCGCTCCAGGATGCTTCAGAGTTCTATTTTGTGAGAAGTCTATTTATATTGTGTTGCTTTTTGCTGTAACTGGCTGTAACCCTTTCAGGTGGGTTTTAGGGGCCTTGCTTCACATACAGAGCCAAGTTGATCAACTATACGACGTAGGACCGGTCAACACAGAACTCGGGTTAATGATTCGGAGGGACAATTTGTATTGTGTATGTTGGAAGGGTTCTAGCAACCTTGGTACTTAGCTTGGAGCATGCAGTTCTGCAGTGATGTGGACTGATGTGAGTTCAGCAGATGGCCGAGCCCAGGTGGACATCACGTAACTTTGATGCACCGGGCCCCGCGGGCATTGACTCCAATGTTGGTCACAGTTGCCACGTATGTAGGGGGTGATCTTGAGCTTGTTGGGCCTTGATCTCTAAGACGCTAAGAGATCAAACATCCCCGGTAAAGCCACGAGATGCTTGCTACCTTGATTTCTGCCTCCACCCTGAGAGCGACGGCCGCCAACCTAAGAGCGATGGCCTCCACCCTACCAGGAGCTTCATCTTTGTTACTAATGACTACTGTACTTGACTTACACTCCCTGGAACTAACATGGAAGTGGAGAATGGCCCCTTGGAAGACCATTTTCCACTACAAACAGGTGGTTTTCCACTTCCATGTTAGTTTTCGGGAGTGTAAGCCTTCTAACTTCTTCCAACTGCCCGAGACGCCTATCCTTTTGAAATTTCAGCAATTTGGACAGATTGAAATTTATAAGCATTTTGCGTGCACGCATGTATATAAAACGTATAGAAGGTATATATATATATATTATACATATATTTATCACTTGAGGTTTGTGGTTGCGGTCTTTTTCTTGGCGGCTTGGTATGCCATGATAAACATGAAGATCGATGCGCTGATGCTGGCATACTCAGGCCAGGCTGTAGTGTGCCACCCGGGAACAAGCTGCGTTGAATTCATTGTATTACTTCAATACAAAGAGTAGATTTGTTAATGTCAAATATTGGTGTTGCGTCAGTTTTGTGTCACACATTGGACACAGTGAGACATTGTCAGGGGCCCTTTCGAGTAACATGCTGCACATCGCTGCTTGGCAGAACCTGTGAGGTCAGATGTCCCGCGAGCATCCCCGATGGCCTCCACCATCCTCCAATCTAGAGATATATGTCTCAAATTCATTGCGGATAGTTTTGTTGGGTTTGTTGCCTCCCTTCCGTCAGAATCCTTCGATTTGCCGATGCAGCATCCGCTGGGCGACTAAGGCAGCTCTACTGCCTCCGATCGGTGCTTCCTTCACGTGTCTACGAATGATTTAGATCCGACCTTCCAAGAAATCCCGAAACAAGAAGCTACTAGTAACAAGTGCATCGCTACTAGGAACAAGTGCCTTACTAGTAGTAACAAATTAGAATTAGAATTAGATTAAATTAGAATGAGGATCAAGTTCAACTGACTGGACTGTTCAGGCTAACGGCTGAGCATTTGATATCCGCTATGACTGGAAAGCCAATGAGTGGCTTTTCTGAGGTACTGCCTGCTGGCGGTCTTCTTCGAATCCCTGGTGGGCTGCAGCAGCATCTTGCGTCGACGCATGCGGCCGAACCGCACACCGCCACCTGCCAGTCGAACATCAAAATGGTATTGCCGAACTCCCAAGGTTTAAGCTACTAGGAACAGGTGCCACGCTAGTAGTAACAAGTGCCTTACTAGTAGTAACAAGAAGCTACTAGGAACAAGTGCATCGCTTCTAGTAACAAGTGCCTTACTAGTAGTAACAAGAAGCTACTAGGAACAAGTGCATCGCTTCTAGTAACAAGTGCCTTACTAGTAGTAACAAGAAGCTGCTAGGAACAGGTTTAGAGGGCACTCCTAGGTGGCATGCGATCCGCCACCAGTTGAAGCCCCGTCATGGGACCTGCCCCGATCCACGAGGAAAGCTCCAGGGATCACAATGCGCCTTGGCACCATGGCGACAAAAGCCTTGGGAGGCCGCAGCGCCCGGTGGCCCAGAAAGAGACCGACCTCGTGTCGGATCAGAGCCCAGAGTGGGGGGATTACCGTTCTTTTGCCTGAGACGTACTGTCTCGAATGGTGGATGTGTCGTCCTCAGACTTTAGACCTTCTTTATGATTTGTGTTTGTTTATTTAGACCTTTTGACGTGTTATACCTTTTCAAGACATGCCTTCCTTCCATTAGACTCTAGAACTTTGCTTTGGATTTGTTTTGCTTAGGATATCTTAGGATATTATACGTACTTTATATTTGTGTGTTTCCCCTTTGTCGATACACCGTTATTGTTCTAAGAACTTTTTTTCATTGGACCTTTGTTTATTCAGACGTTTTTCTTATTCTTTAGAACGTTAGGCATTGTTTTGTTTAGAGCTTCGTGTTGTTTTTTGACATGTTTGGACCGTTGTTTCTTTGGACTGTTTCATTTTTTTCCTGTTTACGATTCTTTTTCGATAGACATTGTGTTGTATGAAAAGTGAATTGAGTACTTTGGGTCTGTGTTTGTGAAAACAGTTGGATTTGCGGCTGAGGAAGCACCGGTTGAAGCTCCCGCCGATGAAGAGGCAGCAAGGGGATTTCTTCACAAGACAGTAATACGAGAGTTCCTGCACCTTTTGATGCTTAGGAGTTGGGCATCACCAAGTGTCTAAGAACCTACTTAAAGCCCAATGATCAAAGTTTGTTTGGCCAGTTGCAGGCAGTGCCATGAATCACAAAGTTGGACACTACCTCCGTCAACACTACCCCCGCCAAAATATTAATGTTTGCACATGTGGAGCACCTAGTGCCAGAGTCTATTCGGGTTTGTTTCTGTGGTGCTGGCAGTGGTGGGTGAGGGGTGTGTTCGCAAGGTCAGGGCTAATCACCTCTTGACTTGTGACATGATGTTTGGATTGTCCTCGTTTTTCCCGCCATTGTCGCTGCGTCCCGTTCTTACCAAGAGATGCAGATGATGCAGGGTGAGTCAAGCACCAGTGGCGATCTCCCAGGCTCCGCAGGAGCCTGGACTGCCTGGGTCTCGCGAGATGACCACGGCCACCGAGGAAGAGGCAGGGCGACGCGGGCGCTTGACGGCGCATGGCCATGGGGGCTGTGGCTGTTCGGCTTGAACAATGCCACCCGACAAACGACAACACAGGGTGAGTGTCGAGAGTCAGGATCAGATGCTTGCTCACGATTCCGTACAATTTAATTGTATTAATTTATACCATCATGACCTTGAGTATGTTGCCGCTTTTGGACTGGACGCCAGCGTTTGCAGGAGGAGGTTCCGCATGCAACTGCGCAGGCACGCAAAGTTTGCGGGGTGAATTCTTGATGTTTGCCGCTACTGACTTACTTCATCAAATGGCAGTCTGATTTGTGAACTAGAAATGGACTCAAAACACTTTGAGTAACGCAACCCGAGCACTCCTAATAACGAGTCTCGGACAGCAGTCAAGGATCGTGAAGTGGCGGCAGTGGCACCAGCACTGCCAAGCACGCGCCCGGAAGTGGGAACCCAAGACAGCTCCTAGTAGCTTCTTGTTTCTAGTAGCTACTTGCTCCTAGTAGTACGGCCAGGAGCTCCTAGTAGCGTCCTTGCTCCTAATTAGTAGCGATGCCAGGAGCCCCTAGTAGAACAGTTTTTGTTTGAATTATGAGTTTGGAAGGCTTGGGTTTGCATAAGTTGGCATGATTTATGCGCAATGTCACGTATTATTAACTGACATTTTAGCTCAATCAAGGACGCCTTGATCCAAACGACCGCATTTTGGTGCCTACACTCCTTTTATTCGACCAATGGTTCCACCTATGGTTCCCATTGGACCAGTTGACTCTTCCCTCTTCGAAGGGGATCACATTTGCAGCGTGCAGCGTGAAACGTTTGCTTGTTCCATTTGCGGTTGGTATGCTGTGGAGCTGACCCGAATACCAGTCAGGTCGCTTCGCAACAACCACCCGCACTGTTTGCGTCGAGAAAGAGCGCAAGGAAAGGTCATTCATGTCCAAGCCAACACCCCGATGACCCCTGAAACATGTGCAGTTTCAAGAGGGTTGAAAAATAGAGTCACTATATTAAGCTATATAATACGCATGACAACAACCTGGAGATGACAAGTGCTATACCGTAGATTGATATCATTAATGTTTCATTATTGAATCATGTTCATCACCCGGTCCATCAAAGGCATACGAACGATTCCTCTCAACAGTTTAGATTATTCTCTCTCTGTGTTTACAGTTCTTTGAACATATAGTCGTAATGAGGTAGTGAAGTCCAACACCCCACCCACGGATGAGCCCGGAGAGAAAAGCAGAGAGAGAGAGAGAGAGAAAAACAATAAGAAACCTGTAACGCTTCGTGCTACTTGTGATTTGTGCACGATTTCCCCGAGGCTGCTCCCAGGTGGTGCAACTTGGCACCAAATGCCCTGGGGGATGAAAGTCTGTGAACGCTCGGTGGGTTGCGCAATCACAGAAGAGAAGCAGGAGAAAGAGAAAGAAGAGACCCTGCAGAAAGTGATAGACAAGAAGCTACTAGGGGCTCCTGGCCTTACTGCTAGGAGCAAGGACGCTACTAGGGGCACTTTAAACACTTGCGACAGTCGCAATAAGAAATAGAATTGGATGGTCCCAGGCCGTGGAATCCTTTGTGCTACATGTCGCATCGTTTGTTTAATGTGTTTTCCTTCCTGAAGGCCTTTGGTGAGAATCCTTTGCTTTTTTAAATGTTTGTGAATGCTTTCCCTCTTCGTTTGAGCGATTATTTGTTGTTTGGATCCTTTTTGCTTGAGGTGAGCTTGGAATCCCGCCGCTTCTCTTGCATGCGCAACTTCAAAGATGTGCCAAGAAATGTGTTTGGCTTCATCCTTTGTTGGATGGATCTTACAGAGCTCGGTAGGACGTTAGTCATAGCATGAGGAACAGTAAAGATTGAACGGCTTTTTGACATATGGGATTTTGGGGAGCACCCGTTTTGTGAGGTGCTTCGGACATTCGCAATCAGCTGTAATACAGTAGCGGCTAGTGACCGTTTTGATCTTCCCTTTCGTGCCACTGTTGATGTAAGTTGGTGGGCGCTTGTGAATATGAACTTAATAGAAGTTCGGCATGTTGCTAGCCCAAAACAGGCTGATCTAGGTATTTTTGATCATGCCTTCGGAACGGGATGGCCCTGAAATGCCCTGAGGCTCACATTTTCAGCGTGGACAGTGACGGTACTGGATTTGGCGGAAGCAGTGTTTTGGGTTCAAATTTGGAGCCGCATTTGGAAACAGAAAGACGTCCTTGGTGTTGTGAGCTGTGTTTGCAATGGCGACCACTTTGCACATACCGTCACATACCTAATTAATTAAACATCGCAGGGGTGAGCTCTCCTGTTGGGATTTCGCGTACAAACAGAAGGACATACAGTCCCAATGAGGTCTATGCCATCTATGTCTTTGTTGCCATCGGATGGCGGAATCATGGCTTCTTTCTTATGGAGCATGCTCATGTTTGCAGAATTTTTCGTGGTGCCTAAGCAAGCCGGCCGCTTATCAGTTGAACAAAACAAACAATCAACTGCCGGCTGTTATATAAGTGGTTGTCGTACATCGTTCCAAGAGGAGTCCAGATTTTAGCAAGTACACTCTCTTTAATTATGTACTTGTGTTTTGCTTGCCTTGCATTCTTCTCAATCTGAAGACATGTGACAGTGACATTTGGCAATTCTTGGTGAGCCAGGAATGCCTCTGTGGCCGGCTTTATCCTGAAGTGGGGCCTCCTGATGATCTGCATCTTCTTCGGCCGCTCATCAAAACCTTAATCCTGACGTCCACGTCTTTGGTGGGAGTTCTCTTTCCACCTGTGTATTTCTCACACAGCAACATGTGGGCTTGCTGAGAAGCGCGTAATATGAAAGGCGGGCGCTAGACACATGTGTATACTGTATACTCATACTCTCTACATCAAATTTTTTAGGCTGTCCTGAGATGCCCCTGAATTCCTGTGGTCCTGTACAGGCAGCTAGTTGCATAGCCGACTTGGTGGAGGAAACATTCTCCAAGGCACATGTTTAGGGATTTGTAAGATTGTTATTTCTAGTTTGTAGACCGCAAGAAGTGGTGGTGTTCATGTGTTTTTTGTGTTTGTGAAGTTCATCTAAGGTGAAGGCATGCTGAGGCCGAACGAAGAATGTACCACTCGCGACAGGTGCACCGGAGTCGGTCACGTCAGCCGCACTCGGTCAGGGCACGTTGTTGCAACATCTTGGGATGCTGTGGGCTGCCTTTGCAGAAGCTCGGCCTGTCTCGGACTTTTGCAGATGTTGTCTCGGACTTTTTGGACGCTGTTTTGATACAACATATTCGACATATTATTTCAGAGACAGTTTCTGAACGTCGATCCACACAAGGTGTCCGTTTGGGCGGGAATGTTCTGACGGAAAGCCTGGACAACAAGCTTTGAGATTCCGTTGGAATCTGATGAAAAACATCGAAAAACACATTGCTAGAAAAACACTCTCTTGAACAAACCCTTACCCCGTTCTGTTGCGTCGAGCCGTGGTTTTCCTGACAATGTGTCAGCGCGAACTCTTGCTTTCGCTGTCTTTTCAAGGCTTTGGGTCAGGGCTCACCGAATGGCACGTGATATCATCGTGTTCTGACACTCAGGGGAGCTGGGGAGCCAGACATCGTCACAAAGTCATGTTGCACTTCGAGTTTCTTTGCATAATTTACTGCTCACGCATGTTCATCGCTAGTAGTAACAAGTGCCTTACTAGTAGTAACAAGAAGCTAGAAGAAACAAGTGCATCACATGGAACTTATCACTGCAGGTCATCCATAATTTTCTCGGTCATGGTGCCATTTGTTTGGGGCCTCAGCGACGAGAGGGAGAGAGACTCGAGAGAGTGAGTATGTGTGCATGTGCGCGCCTGATCCCTCGAACCTCTGACCTCCGGAGTTAGAATCTCACGCCCATCCGACCGAGGTGGTGCTCAATAGCATAAACGTTCCTTGGTCTGTTATCTAGGCCGCTTCTAGGTTGGAGGCCATTGCTATTACAAAAGCAGATTGAGTCAGGAGATGAAGAGAATGTGCTGGCAGTCGATGTTGGGAGATGTTGAGAGCCGGGAGGTCGATATTTGCAAAAACCACCGTGCTGCATGAAGACAGCAGCAACGAACAGTTTCCAACTGTTTATATTGTTCCTTGTGCCTGTTTCCGATTTCATGCCAAGGACTATTTTTGTCCTGGCTGCAGTGCACATCAGCTTCTCATCTACCGAGATCCAGGGCATTTGGCCCGTGCAGAGGCAGCAGCTTGGCTGGCATTCACTGCTTGGCTCTAGAGCCCAGTGAGGCACAGTGGGGGTACCAAGCACTGTCAGCAAGGACTTGGCAAACGGAGTGCGCTGTGTTTTTCAACTAGGACCACCTAGGATTCTGGCATTCCTCAGATTCCCTTATCTTGGGCGCATTCGAGGTTGTCATGGATGTACTCGGCGAAGGGGATTGGATTGAGGAGGCTGGACAAGTTTTTTCTCAACAAGGGCATCGCTACGAACAAGAACGCTACTAGGGGCTCCTGGCCGTACTACTAGGAGCAAGAAGCTACTAGTAACAAGTGCCACGCTACTAGTAGCAAGAAGCTACTAGTAACAAGGGCATCGCTACTAGGAAC